TTTATGGCTGAGTAGTACTCCATTTTATAAAAATCTATATCTCTCTTTATATGCTCATATTTTCCTTTAACTTCTTGAACATGTGGGATACAATAGCTTTTTAAATGTCTTTGTCTACTAATTTTATGAGCTGTGCCATTTCTGGATGCTTCTGCTAATAATATTTTCTCATTATGGGTCCTATTTTCCTGGAGAGTTTTTGCATGCTTTTAATTTCTAATTGTATGCTAGGGATTATAAATCTTGTTTATTGGGGGTTTTTTCCTCTTAATTCCTTTAAATAGTTTTGAGGTTTGTCCTGGAATGCAGTTATTTGGAGACAATTTGGGTTTTGTTTGTTTTTTCTGAGACAGGGTCTTGGTCTGTTGCTTGTGCTGACCCTGAACTTCAGGGCTCCAGTGACCTACTCCCTCATCCTTCCAAGTAGCTGGGACTATGGGTGAGTGCTCAGTTTAGTTTGATTTTAAGCTTTGCTAAGTAGGAAGAGAGCAGCCTTTAGTATTGTGCTACTTGGCCCCTTCACTGAAGCAACATCCTTCTGAGTACCTGATAGCTCATGTATCACAAGCCCCCTCGACTCTGGTTCTTTAGAGCACAAATTATTCCCAGCCTATGTGTGCACCAGTAATCTCACTAGTCCTTTCTAGTGGCTTGCTCTTTCTTTCTTTTCTTTGTTTCTTTTCTTTCTTTTTCCTTTCTTTCCTCTTTCTCTCTTTCCTTTCTCTTTCTTCCTTTCTTTTTCTTTTCTTTCTTTCCTTCCTTTCTTTTTTCTGTCTTTCTTCTTTCTCTTTCCTTTCTTTCCCTTTCTCTTTCTTTCTTTCTTTCTTTGAAAAGAAAATTTACTGGGGAATAGGAATAGTTCCTGGGAGAGGAGCCATCGGGAATGGTTGCTCTCCAGTCATTCTTTTATTGGCCTCATGTTGTTCCTGCCCACAAAGGTGATGATCAATCCTCACTAAAGGACTGAGGAAGCTTCTGCAGATTTCTGTTCAACTCTCTCCTCTCTGGTGCCTGTTCTTCCTCGGCCTCTGAATTCTCAGTTCTGTTTCTCAATTCATGGAGTTGGCTGCTGTTTGGGTTCCCCTCCCTGCCTGCACCATAGTCTGGAAACTCGCTAGTCAGCTGGGCCAGTGCTTGGACTCATTTCATTTGTTTCCTTCTCTTGGGGCTCACTGTCCTGAATGACCAACTGCCTAATGTCTGAAAAACCATTGTCTCATACATTTTGTCTGGCTTTTTAATTGTTTAAGGTGAGATGGTAAATCCAGTCCTTGTTACTCCATCATGGCTAGTCTCTCCTTGTATTTAGATTTGTTCATTTGATCTATAAGGTTTTTGTTTATGCTCATTTTGGGGGTGACAGGCCTCTTTCAAGGCTTTTGTTTGTTTTTTTTTTGGTACCGGGGATCGAACTTGGGACCTTGTGCTTGCAAGGCAGGTGCCGGAACCACTGAGCTAAATCCCCGGCCCAAGGCTTTTATTTCTGAAATAAAGACTTTAATTTATCATTGTTCATTTGTGAAATTAAGAGGAAATAATTTTCAAATCAGAACTATTTAATTTTACTTTGGTCCCTGGGCAGCAGAATGTAGTTAGGTCATTTGGACCCAGCTCTCACCTGTCTGGGAAGCATTGTTGACCTGAACAGTGTTTGGTTCACCCTGTATCAAGTTATAAATGTGAAAAAGAGTCTACTTTTTCTTCCTCTTCCTTGCAGTTTTGTTGAGTAAACAAAGAATACTATGTATACAAGCTTCAAAATCATACTTAGGTTCAGATCTTGGCTCTGATACTTAAAAATTATGTGGCATTAGGGAAATGGTTAATGTCTTAGTGTGTTTTTTTATCTGTTACATACTATAAAGCCTACTTTTTCTTCTTTTTTTTTTGGTACTAGGGATCGAACTCAGGTCCTTGTGCTTGTGCAGCAGGCGGCGAAGCCACTGAGCTAAATCCCCGGTCCCTTTCTTCTTTTTTTTGGTGGTACTCAATATTGCATCCAGGGCCTTCACACTGAGCTACATTCCAGCTTTTTTTTTTTTTTTTTTTTTAAATCTGGAGACATGTTCTCGCTAAGGTGCTACGTCGCTTAGGCTGGGCTCAAACTTTAGATCCTCTTGCCTCAGCCTCCCAGAGTGCTGGGATTAAATGTATGTGGCACCATTCCTGGCTTTAAAGCCTACTTGTTGATGTTGGTAGTGCTAATGAAGCACAGCTTTCAGTAATTTTCAGGTGCCTGGAAGAAGAGAAACAAGGCTCCCAGGCAGACTGATTCCTTTAACCCTAAGCCCAATTGTCTACCACAACCTGAAGTCTTCCTGACCAGGGGCTCCCTGATTGGCAGTTCTCCTCTGCCACTCCCATGGCAGCCACTCTGCCAACTGTGGCCTTCCAGGATCCAAGAGCCCAGGTTCAAGCCATTTCTTATGGTCCCCTCTGGTGGGTATAGAGGCAAGTGCCTGGGAAGGGCCTGCAGAATGAGGCCTTGGTCAGAGCCCAAGGCTCCTGGGAGGGAAAGTTGGAGCCACTTTACTATTTGGCCTGGAACATAAAGAGACTGAGTCTAGAGAGGGAGGGGACTGGTTTCTGCCTGGCAAAGTCAGATCTAGCCACCTGAGCCTACCGATCTTGTCCCCTTCATATCTTTTAATTTTTTCTTTCTTCTTCTTCCCCATGGCCACTCCCTGTTCAGAAAACTCTTATTACTTGGGAGTTATTGCAACAGCCTCTTAATACTGTTTTCAGTTTTCCACACTGCACCTTAAGTGATATTTTTAAGGCCACAACTGATGGTGTCACTCCCCATTAACCGCTCATGCTCTTCAAAGTCCAAAATCCTCTCCACGGTCTACAAGCCCATAACGTCGGCTAAATTTCAGTTCATCACTCTGGCCTCATTTAATGGTTCTGTTCCTTGCACTGAATACAACAGGTTTACCAAAAAGTTCCCCTCACCTCCCGCCCTGGAGCCCCTCTTCTTCTTCCCCACCCCCTTCTTCTTTCTTAACCCTCCACATCCTTAAGCGCTGAGTTTGAATTGCCCCTTCTTTCAGATCTGTTCTCACAGCAGGCTCTTGTCAAGACACAGACGCCAAAATGTTTAAGTCCCTGTTACTTCTTCCCTTACCTCCTACCACTCACTTGGTAGTAAATGTCTTTCAGGAAAGACTGTGTCTTTTTCACTGTGAACTTGCTTGATGGACAGATATCCGTGAATACATTGACAGACAAGCAGGAGGTTAGGTAGGGATTTGTGGCTTTTCTTGAAAATCAGTAATTTAAAAGTGCAGGCAATTCCATCTGTGTCTCCCCTTCATTCACATTTTTTTATTTTGCTTATTTGATGCTTCCTAATTTTCATAAGTGGACATTCCTGGGAAAAAGACTTTGAGATGAAGTGCGTGGGAGCTAATCATTGGAGAAAGCTCTTGGGAACACCTGAGAAAAGGGCCATCAGATAGGCAGAGGGAGAAGTTAAATAGTGATGCAGTTGCAAGAGGGTCCATCAACTTTAGAGAAGTCTGGGAAGACCTGTCAGTGATGCTTACCAGTGCTGTCACCTCCCCACTCCCATGGATTAGATGCAGGCTGCCCCTGGAATGGAACATAAGCTAGGCGGAGACTTCTTCCTTTGGCAAAGGACAATTCCTGGGCGAGGTCAGGTGTCAGCAGGCAGCACTGATGACAGCTGGGTGAATCTTGGCGGCACACACACAGCTACATCCACTACACTGATTAAAACTTCCTGATGAAGGCAGGTGGAGAGACCATCTATGTTCATATATGTGACCAGAAATTTGAAAGACCTGGTACACAGGAGGTGTTTATCAAACACGATCCCCTCCCTCAAAAAAAAAACCCCTATTGCCAGGTTCTTGACATTCTTATGAACAGCTAGTTGGTGCTGGACTTGGGATTTGTACTGGCTGCTTGCCTCAAGAATCCACACACCATCACTAATGTGATTACTGCTATTAAGATGGGTTCTACCAAATACATAGCAGTGTGCTCATTAGGTGGTGTTTATACAATGTAGACTGCAGCTCAACCAGTATCTGCTAAACAAAAGAAAAAAATGCTTCAGCCCTCTTAAGATATTTAAGAAAGAATTGTTGAGCTCTCTCTACCCTTTTCAACCCCTCTGCTAGTCTGTCCTCATAGGGTGACTTCTGAAGGAGCCACCCTACTCAGTGGCCACATCCAAGGAAGCCATGGTACAAGGAAAACCTGCAGCAGGAAGATGGACTAGTGAAAGGATCCTGCTAAATCAAATGCTCAAACTTCTGTGTTCAGTCTGTTAGTTGCTTTGCCAGTGGCTTCCTTCAACAGACATCTTCATTATCTAGGCAGGGCCCTTGCCTGTTTCCATTTACGAGATTTTTCTGGGGAGTCAAAGAAATACGTATAATACTCAGATAAAACTAAGATGTAAATGAAATTGTTCTAATGGCACTTATTCCACAACTTTAGTTTCATTGTTAAGAGACTTTGCTTATGATCCCTGAAGATGGGACCAGGAATTGACTAAAACTCTCATAAACATATTTTTCTCTCCTTGTGGGTATAAAAGTGCTTCACTCCTGTGTACTTTGCATTTCTCTTTGATGAGAGAGCTTTTCCCAGATATGTGGCTGTATAAACAAGAAGCTCTATATGTATTAGGCAGAGGATAAGTGCATATTTCTCACCAATCCCAGTGTCTCTGCCCATAAAGCACTGAGTATCCATTTCCTCCAGACTAGGTCACCAATATTTACTAGTGTATTTGTTCTAAAATCTCTACTTAGGGTCTTTATAAGGCATACATAGATTCCTGATTAACTTCCCAAGATAAACAACAGTCTCTGTCTCCTGCTGTGGACAAAAGACCATAATTTTGGCAGATTAGTTTACTTGTTCAGCTGCAGAGCTGGGAACCTCCAACGTGCGCATGTGCACAAGGCACTTACAGACACAGAAACAGGAACCAATTATTATACAAGTATGGTACCTTTAACTCCCAAGACTCCCTCAAGGATAAGTAGTAGCTCCTGAAACAATCAAACTAATCACATAAGACATTTTCTGCAATAGCTTGTTTTGCACTTTACAAAGGCAAGAGATGGTTTCAGGTCAGTATATTCTGCCCTAGAACTAGAGATTGAACCCAGGGCCTTTGCACTGAGCTACATCCCCAACCTTTTAAAAAATTTTTGACAAAAGAGTCTCGCGAAGTTGCCCAGGGTAGTCTAAAACTTTTTCTGGTTTTTGCTTCTTCAGAATGCTGAATACAGGGTTCTGCAGTCAGAATTATTTCTGGAGTGGCCAAGAAGGCCAGCACTCTAATCCATAGTTTTGACCTTTTATCTCCATCCTGCTTCTCAGCATCCAGCTTTGTCTTCTGAGACCAGCATTCTTTCGCTCATCAATCAGCACAACTGGGTTGCAGAAGTGTGAAGATGTCTCATGGAATGGAAGGCTCCTCACTGTCTCCCCAAATTGTTTTCTTCTTCCCCATAGTAATAGTTGTTTTGTTTTGGAGACAGGGTTTCACTATGTAGTTTAGGTTGGCTTTGAACTCACCATGTAGCCTAGGCTAGCCTCAAACTCATGGCATCCTCCTGCCGTTTCTCAAGTGATGGGATTACAGGCATGTACCACCACTGGCTTGAAGTCATAGTTTTAATTGGGCAAATGGCCATCCTGCTAGAAATGTTTTCTAACCTCCTTGGAAGATAGATGTGGCCGTGCAATTGAGTTCTCACCAAAGGACTCGGTCCCATTCCATGATGCTTACTGGAAGGGAAATCACCTCTTGTGACTATGACTTCAATTTTACTGTAACCTGGAATATGGACATGGTAATGACCCAGCTTCAACCACACAGACAAAAACATACTAACCCAAGCTGGGTGCACTGACGCACACCTGTACTGCTAGCACTCTGGAAGGCCGAGGCAGGAGGAATGCAAGTTTGAGCCCAGCCTGGGCAACTTAGTGAGACTATCTAAAAATTTAAAAAGTTGGGGATGTAGCTCAGCGCAAAGGCCTCTGGGTTCAATCCCTAGTTCTAGGGGCTTGGCGGGGGGTAGGGGTAGCTAGCTTAGCCTAGGGGAATGAAGAGCAAGGCAGAAAGTATATGGTCCCTGAATTATTTGGTGAAACCAAACTGAGCTGCCCACTAGACCAGAGCATGGCACTTTTCTGTAAAGGGTCATATGGTAAATATTTTAGGCTTTCTGGACTAGTCTGTTACATCTTTTTAAAAAATACCCAAAAATGTAAAAACCATTCTTAGCATTCATTGTGCACCATACACAATCAGGTGGATATGACTTGACCCTTAAGCTGTAGCTTACTGATCACCTGCTGCCCCTGGAAGTTTATGTGAGAGAGAAATAAACTTGTTAGTTAGGGAAGTTTGCTAACACTGAAACAGAGATCTAGATAAAGAGTGACTTATGTTACTACATAAGTGGAAAGGAGCTTGAAATGTGGGCCAATGATCAATCTATTTTCTCCTAGCTCCAAGTCTGTTTTGCTTATGATAAAGCAAAACAAAGTGAAAGATTTTCCTTTTTCCAGGTGGCATAATGTTAGGCTTTGTCAGTAAGGGGTACTAAAGGGACAAGGCAAAGAGAAAGGGGCTGCTCCTGTTTTTTTCTGTCTTGCTCTTACAGCACAGCTATTACTGGTGTGCAGGAGATCTAGCAGCACCCACTCACCTGGGAGTTGGACCTGCAGCTAAACTATCAGCTTCCTGCTCATCAGTCTTGGCCTTTACACGTCAGTGAATATTATCACCAAGTGGGCTACAGCCAGTATCGTGTTAGCAAATAGTTAAAGTGGCTCAAAAACAAATTTCTCTGCTTTGTTGGATTTGCTGATTCCCATGGTGTGAATATTCTCACCACAACTAATTTCAATGGAGATTTGGGAAGAGATATGCAAGACTGGTTCTAGCACACCTCTGGGAGAGCCATACCCTGTCCAATGAGATCTGAATTTCAGTCTAGGGCAGGAGTGGGTGGATGGGGGCTTCTAAGCACTTCTTTCTTCAGTATTCTCCCTCAGGTAGTAGCTGTATCCTGTCCCACTATTCTCATGTTCTTTAGAGATCTCATTAATTCCTTTATTATATAACCCCCTTTTACTACTTAATATTTTTTTTATTTTAAGCTTTCCCTGTTTAATTTACTAGTGTGGTTTTTAACTCCTGTCTGGACATCTGCAGGTGACTCTGTTCAAGGACACAGACTAATATAGGTCTGAAAGAGACAGGATCAAAAATTTCACAAGAAAATTTGAATATAATGATCACTGCTTGACCAGCTGTTCTGTGCCAGGAATAGAACTCTTCTGAAGTAGGCATTAGTATCCTTACTTTATTAGTGGGGCAGCTCAGGAAGTTGTTCAAATTTATGCCACAAAGGAGAAGCGGCACGATTTGGCTATTGTTTGTAGCCAAAGGTATCTTAATCAAAAGATATAAAGTAATAAAATCTGCAAGTAACACTATGAAAAGTTTTTCCTAAATCAAGAAAGACAAAGAAAAAACCTTAAGGTGCTTATAACTTTTATGGGCGCTAGTTCTAAGTAGATTAGACAAAAGTACAAGTTTGTCTGGAGACTTTCTCACCTTCAGTACACTGGGAAGGATCTTTGCTATCATGAACTCTCTGATGTCTAATAAGCTCTGAACTCCATCTGTAAGCTTTCCCACATCCTTTACATATAAAAGGTTTCTCTCCACTGTGAATTCTTAGATGCTGACTTAGATACGAGCTTTGACTGAAGGCCTTCCCACACTCGTTACATTCATAGGGTTTTTCTCCTGAATGAATCCTCCGATGTTGAACAAGATGAGCACCCCACCTGAAGGCCTTCCCACATTCATTGCATTCGTAGGGTTTCTCTCCTGTATGAATTCTCTGATGCTGAATGAGGTTTGAGCTCTGATTGAAAGTTTTTCCACAGTCACTACACTTAAAGGGTTTCTCTCCAGAATGAATTCTCTGGTGGATCACAAGATGTGAATTATAAATGAAGGCTTTCCCACATTCACTACATTCATGATCTTTCTTCCCTGTGGGAGTTTTCTTATGGGTGCCAACCATCTGTCTGAAACTTTTTTCCTGAGCAGGGGATGGCCTTCGTCTTTCCACTTTGGGATTTCTCTGCTGCTGTTCTAAGATGCTCTTAACTTTTGAAGTAGCTTCAAACATAGAGGTGTCAGTGGTGAGGTTTTCCAAGAACATGTGTGATTCCACTTTAGTAATGGGTGGCTGTGGCAGTGATCCTTTGTCCTTGAGTTTTGGAACATCTTCTGCAGCAACTGATGGAAAATGTACATGTACCTGTTCTGGATGTATAGAAAAATGATAGGTTAGGATTTACACATCTGAGATGAAAATAAAAACTTAAAAAATATTCTCTCTCTATATATGACAAAGACTGGAAGGATATTTACTTAGATATTATCAATGGTTATTCTCTTGGTGATGGGATTGTACAGGGGAGAGGGTGTCTTTCTTTTTTTTTTTCCTATCCTCATGCTTATATAGGTTTTTTAAGTATTCCACAGTGGAATACTTAAAAGGTGCACTTAAAAGATAAAGTAAGTTTCAAAGCAGTGTCTTTAGAATTCACTCTTAAAAAATAAGAGAAAAAGTATTTTCAAGCAATTGGGGAGTGGTCAACTGATGTTGGAAAAGATGGGAAAAACAAGGCAGAAGAATCATTAGGGTGATGAAAAAGGATGTCCTAAAGGCAAAAAGAGTGCCTTTCCTGGCTCTGTAATCTTCACCCTTCCCATTTATATCCCTTCCCTGTAAATCTCCAAACGCTGAAGAGGATTGTCATATAATAGCTCCTTAAAAGGGAGAACTCAGCGGCCTGCCTTCTATCTGTCAATGCTCTTTGCCTTTCCCTTTGATCAATTCCTTTAAAAAGCAAGAAAAAAGAGCTCTTCCTTTTGTTCCCGCTAGGGCCTAGGGATTGAACCCAGCCTTGTGGAGAGAGGATGTTTGGGGGGTGTGTGTAGGCTAAGGAGAACGTTTCCACAGTTAATCTGAAGGGTAGAAGGTTAAATGCAGACATAAAAGAATTTCAAATAAGTTTTAGATGGGAATGGGGGATGGTGGTAAAGATAACAGGTTGTATTTCTAATAAGAGGACCTCATAAATTTAAAAAAGTGTGTTTTGGGGAGCACAAGGAAGCTAAAAGGAAAATATTTCAAGACTGGTCTCTAGCTCAGGGCAGAGCTTTTATGAACTAGGTGTCAAGAGCAACAGAGATGAAGAAGCACCAAGTGAATGAACATTTTGTGGCCTGCTTTAGGTTTCCCTAAAACTAAGAAATGCTAGTCAATCTTTATAGCCAGACATAAGTTAGATTTCCACAGAACTATTTTATGAGGTAAGTTATTCTTTTTCTTTTCTGGTGAGGAGTGGTGTTGGGGACTGAACCTAGGAGCTCTTACATGCTAGGCAAGTGCTAAACTACTGAGCTATACTTCCAATCCCCAAGGTAGATTATTCTTATTCCTAATTTTAGGGTGATGAGACAGGCTAACTCCGTTAAGAGGTATGAAAACACCATAATGATTACAGCAAATATAAGCACCTAATACATGGCCTTTATAAGGTACTAGACAGTATCTTTTACTCTTTTTCTCCTTTTCCTCCCCAGAATTCTACTCCTTACCACTCTCTGGGAATGGCTGGTTCTCCTGAAATTCACACTTGAGCTGCGTCTCCTTAGGTTGGAGCTGGATGCCTGCTGCCTCCTGTTCTGGTCCCAGGGGTGCCTTCTTCTCCCATGGGTCTTCCTGTGCAGGTCCATGTGCAGGGCCTGGAACCTGCAGGTGATCAGGCACCACTCGGTTTATTCGGGACCAACGCTTCCAAGGAGACTTGAGAGAGCCTCCTTAGAGTCAGCACAGGGGAAGAAGAGGAGTTAGAGTCTCTTTCTCATTCAAAGCTTGAAGGCAGAAAAGACAGAGACAGAAACATATACTAACTGTTCTACCTTGGCAACTTCCCCTACTGCTGCCCCTCTGTCCAGCCTGAAGGTCACTGATCTGGCTCCCACAACAGATCAAATCCCCCTTCCCACCTGAGGTCCTGGTTCAAGTCCTTTCTCTAAGTCTTCCAGCACAGTCACGGCCTCCTCTCCACTTTTAGGGTGATGTCCCCGCACCCAGGACTGGAGCTCCTCAGGCAGGATGGTCAGGAATTGCTCCAGCACCAGTAACTCCAGGATCTGCTCCTTGGTATGTCTCTCTGGCCTTAGCCACTCACAACAGAGTAACCGTAGTTGGCTCAGGGCTTCCCGGGGACCAGGAACCTCCTGGTAGCAGAGCTGTCTAAAGCGCTGGCGGAAGATCTCTTGACTGGTGGAGTGGTTCCCTGATAGCTTGGTTTCATGTTCCCAAGATTGCTCCTCTTCCTTTGGCTCCAACATCATCATCTCTTGTTCCTGTGTACCCTGAAGCATCAGTTTTAGTTGCTGTCAGCGACTAGGTTTGCAGAAGGTCCACATCAGGTGCAATCTTTTAGGGCCACCCTGTAATAAGAAAAGATCTTTTTGTCATTTTCCCCCCATTCATTAAACACATACTTGGTAGCTGTAAGGGGCCAAACCCTGTACAATACCTTTCACTCCTTCTTTCTCTTCCAGTCCTCCCTTGGACGCTGCTCCATTAAACTTTCTCCTTTTAAGAAACTTGCAGTCTGGTGAAGACAGATGTGACCACAGTGAAGAAGTAAGTAGGAAGCAAAACCCACATGCACAGATTTCAAGCCCAGGGCTGATTAGCTTTTAGTGTGTGGTGCAGGAAAGGCAGACTTCTTCCAGATGACTCCTCCACCTTTCCTCAAATTCTGTAGTAGTGCTACAGCAAAAGAAAAATGCAAATCCCCCAGGATTTGAAGCAGAACCTTGTTATAGGGTGGTTATCAGCAAGAGGCTTGCTCTGGGGCAGAGTACAGAGTCAGGGGTATCTAACGGGGCATGAGGCAGACCTATCCTAAGGCCATTAAAGCAGCATACAGAGGTACTTCTGGCTAAGGACAAAGGAGGCGCAAGGACAAACGCCCAGCCGGCTGTTTCAGGGAGATGCTCTGGCAGAGCCAGAGCCCAGCTGAACTTCTGCGCCCGGCCTTGCCAAGTAACTACCGAAAAGCCCAGGGGAGGATCTGTGGTGCGGACCCTAGCAACACCCCATTCTCACCTTTCACTCTTGCCCCTTGGGCCCTAACGAAAAGAAAAGGACAGGAGATCTCCCCAGCGCCCTCCACCGCACGTGACGCAGCGCAGGCACTGGATCGCGGGTTCTTGGGGACCCAAACCCTTGTCGGCACAAATCCGCGGAGCTGCCTGCGAGGCCTGCTCGCAGCAGAACTGCAGCTGCATGCGGTGACCAACAAAAGTAGCAGGGCCACTGAGATGGACCTCCAGGTGGCCGCCGCCAAGACTCACCCAACAGTAGCGCCACACAGCGCGCTCCTTCCCCCAGCCTCGGGTACAGGTTCGCGCCTGCGCAGCCGCAACACGACTCTATTTCCCAGAAGCCTCCGCGCCGTCCACGGCTCTCTGAGGACTCCTTCTAGCGAGGGAGGAAGCGGACGCAACACCCTCGTGCCTGGGCTGCAGCGGCCGGGTACCGTGGAGGCCTCTGGGGGTTGCAGTTCTTGGAGGAAGCAGAGGCAGTGACTGCCTGCTGGACCAAGCTTGGCTGGTCTCTCTGTGAGTTGCACCCTCCAGTGGCCCCTAGGCCAAGAGAAATGCCTGGGAAACTCGAGTCTTGGGCATGGCCCGTTGCAACACTTGTGTTGTTTTCTAGGTACGTCTTCCCAGACCTTACCAGAGAATCACAACCAGGGAAGAAATCCTCTCAAGGCGAAAATCAACCATTTGCCTTCCCAATAAGCAGTTCCTGGGATATAGGGGACGGGGAGAAGAAAGAAAAAGGTAAAGCTCCCATTTTATTGTCTAGGGAGAGATAGGACTTGTTGATAGGGGAAATTACTGCTTTCTTGAGAAAGATGCATCTGATTTTGAGTTGTAGGAAAGAACCATTATGAGAACAGAAAAGTATAGTCGATCATTCAAATTGACAAAGGAAAAAAATGACTGTGCTAGAATTTGAGCAAACCAGCAAAAGAGATCAAATGCAGAGTTACAAACCACCTACCATAGAAGGCAATAAAAAGAATATGTCTGGTAAAAATCTATGGTGCCTAGTAACACCTACACTTGAAAATACCGTCATTATTTCTTTTATTAAGGAATAAAGTTATAAAAGAATTAAAAATTCATCTTAAGAAAACTTAGTACACTTTATTTAGTTACTGTGCTGGAGATTGAACCCAAGGCTTTATGCACTCTAAGCAAGTGCTTTACCACTGAGCTGCATCCCCAATCCTATACATTTTTAAAGCATACTAAAATAAGGCAAAAGAAACAAGGTGAAGTGATTAATACAGATAAAAAATGAATTAATGAAATAGAAAATTTAAAATGGGTAAATTCAAATGCTCATTCATTTGAAAAGAGCATTAAATTTCTTGGAGCCTGATAAAGGAAAAGCAAATTAAAAATTGACAATAGAAATGAGAGATAAAGTGTAACCATAGAATAGGAGAAATTTTTAAAATTAGAGACTTACATTTAGCTTTAGTATAGCATATTTAAGAACCTAGATTAAATGATTGGTTTTCTAGTAAAATAAATTACTAAAATTGTGTGTATTAGCTAAATGTTTATAAAACAACCCCGATTCAGAGGTAGAAGAGCTCAAGAAAGTGATAGAGAATTGAGATATTACTTGAGGCACTATTTTCAGGAAAACAACATTTCTAAATGCAAATCTTTAAAATGTTCAACTAGAAACTAACCACTAAGTTAATTTGAAATAAATGGATACTTTGCCCAAGAAAAACATAGTTTAACCTGAGTTTTTTTTCCCTACAGTATATACAGCTTATTTTATATTTAGAAAGGCAAGAAAAGCAAACAGTTGATTTTCTTGGGATGCCAATATCTGGATTGCTCTGGGGTCATTAGCAATACTGTGGTCCATTCTTGGAGAACTGGATACTGGGCCAAATATGCTGGACCCTCCCATCCCAAGTAAACAGTGGTGGTTGGGCAAAGCTAACAGTCACACTCAGAGAACAACACCAAAAGTAGACATTTAACTAAGAGGTCTTCATACGAGAAACAAAGCTTCCCACTACAGTTTCCACTACAAAGCTTTCCACTGCAAGCTTCAACACAAAAACAAACAAAAAATAGAAACATGAGAAGAAAAGCCAACAAAATGCCTTGGAAAACTCCAAACTCCTGTAAAGCTAATACATGGGGCATCAAACAGGAGGAAACCAAAAACTATACACCCGAATTATCAAGGGGAGTTAATAAAACAGATCAATAGGGCAGTTGGCAAGCCTAACCCTAAGTAAATAGATATTGGGCCAAATAAACAAAATAATCAGCAAGTCTACAGAGAACACTCCTAAAGAGCTAGCAGAGCTAAACAAAATGATGCAAAATATGAATGAGCAGCATAGGAAGGAATTAAGAGTCCATAAAAGGTTCCAAATTTAGGAGATTAAAAATTCTATCAAAAGTATGGGTCACAGAAGTGATCAGTATGAAGACAGAGTGTCAGAACTAGAAGGCAGCGCTGTTCTCAATGACCATTTAATGAGAGATACCTTAAAAACAAAAAGAGAAAATGAACAATTGGCTCAACAGTTCATAGATGGCACAAGGAAGACTAACAGATTAATTGGAATTGATGAAAAATAAGACAAATAGCATAAAAAACATGTGTACTAGGATAATAGCAGAAAACTTTCCAAACAAGGGAAAATAATTTAATGTGAAAACAAGTGAGACATATAGAACTCCAAATAGCCATGATAGAAAAGAACCTCTCCATGACACATAATCAAAATCAAAAGTGCAGAATCTTAAAACTGTTAGAGAAAAGCAATGAATCACTTATAAAGGTAAACCCATTAGAATTAGAGCAGACTTCTCAACACAAATCTTAAAGGCCAGGGGGGCTTGGAGTGAAGGGTGTCAAGCCCTAAAGGAAAACAATTTCCAACCCAGACTGACATATCCTGAAAAATTATCTTGCAAATTTGATGAATAATTAAGATATTTTCATGTTAAAGAGCACCTAGAGAAAATCATGACCACAAAACTAGCACTCCAAAAAAAAAAAAGTTCTCAAGGATATCCTAGAAACAGGTAATAAAGATAACAATGACAATAGGCCTAATAGAATGAATACACCATGCAGGTTGAGCAGTTAAGTAGAAGGGAAAGACAGATGATCAACAACAGGAAAATAATGCAATGACAAGAATAAGTCAATACCTATCAGTAATAACTCTCAATGTGAATGGTTTCAATTCTCCAGTCAAAAGACACAGACTGGCAGAATGGGGCAAGACACAAAGTCCAATGGTATGATGTATATAAGAAACATATTTAACCCAAAAAATAAACTTAGAGACTAAAAATCAAAGGATAGGAAACAATATTCCATGGAATGGAACCCCCTCCCCCAAAGCAGGTGTAGCTGTCCTATATTCACACAAAGTGAACTCAAGCTAAACCTAATCAAAAGAGGCAAAGAAGGTCACTATATATTGGTTAGAGAACAATCTAACAGGAAGAAAGAACATTCTTAACATATATACACTGAACAATGATACACCTAACATCATAGAACAAGTACTATTGAACATAAAAGACAAGAAACATAAACACAATTATAGTGGGGACCTCAATACCCTACTGTCACAAATAGATAGATTTTAGAAAAAAATCAACAAAGAAATACCAGCATCGAATAGAACCTTTGAACAAATGGACTTAATATCTGTAGCGTTCCATCCAACAACAGAATACACATTCTTCACAGACTCACATGGAACTTTCTCCAAAGTAGACCATACATACTAGTCAATAAAGCAAGCTTAAGAAATTTTAAAGATTTGAATTATATTGTGCATATTAACAGATCATAGTGCAGTGAAGCTAGAAGTCAATGAATTTCTTTAGATGTTCTTTATCATGAAAATATTTTATTTAATCCATCATTTTAAAAAAAATTTTGTAAGATATACCAGTCTGGGTTGGAAATTGTTTTCTTTACCGAAATTATGCAAATGCATGGAAACTAAACAATACACTCTTTTTTTGAGACAAGGTCTTGCTTTGTAGTTCAGGCAGGCCCTGAACTCACTATGTGGCTCAGGCTGACCTGGAACTCTTGGCAAACCTCCTGCTTCAGCCTCCCAAGTGGTGAGATTACAAGCATGCACCACCATACCTGGAAACAATACACTCTTTTTGTTTGTTTTTTGTACTGGGGATTGAACTCGGGACCTTGCGCTTTCAAGGCAGGTGGAGGAACCACTGAGCTAATCCCCAGTGACAATACACTCTTAAGCAATGGATTATAGAAGAAATCAAGGAAAGAATAAGACAGTTTCTAGAACAAATGATAATGCTAGTACAGCATACCAAAATTTATGGGACACATTTAAGGGAACGAGGGTGAGGGTTGAAGAGGAGGGGAAGGGAAAATAAGTAGACTAAAGATATGCCATGTACAGAAACCTAATAACCTTAATGAATTTAAACATTATATGTCATAACATTAGCTATGATTAATAATATCACCAAGAATGAATCATGAGATAGGGGAATTGGAAGAGAAGGGAGGGAGAGGAAGGGAAAGGGAAAGAGATTTAAAAAAAAGAAACAAGCTGTAGTATGTACATGGAATCACTCCCCAAGATGATAGTAAGCTGTATGAACTCCAAACATATACTAATAAAATTAAAAATTAAAAAATTAACAAAGCAGAACTTATGGGACACAAAGAAAGCAGTCCTAAGAGGAAAGTTTATAGTTGTGAATTTTTAATAAACAATTATATTCTGGGCCAGGGATTTAGCTCAGTGGTTCTGCCACCTGACTCAAAAGTGCAAGGACCCGAGTTTGATCCCCGGTACCAAAAAAAACCTCCAAACAATTATATTTTGTAAGCATACTAAAAAACAAACAAACAAACAACAACAACAAAAACAAAAAAAGGGCTATCAAGCACAAATTGGCTCTAATTACCAGGATTCCTTCTGGTTACTACTCTTTGGAACTGGTGTGATCAACAGTCTTTGAAGATTATTCTATCTGGATAGGTGATTATGGTAACAACATAGAATAAAAATCATTTGGTAAATGTATATGGAACTATATTTGCACTTATTCAGCAATCTTTCACTGTTTCCTGTGAACAAGTTAATTTAATAACAGTGTCTTTAAACCAGATTTTCCTGCCAACTTCTACTGTCAAGCTCCTCTCTCTCCCCTGCTGCCTTGCTTTGAAGCCAGCCAATCATGGGTAGAAACTGTTAGGCCCGGCCTAAACAAATGGGACAAAGCAAACAGGTAGCTTTCAGCAAACAACAGCAGCTTCGCAGTAAATAGGGCAGATGGACCCAAAATGAAGTATACAACCTCCCTGGTCCTGAGAAGTCCAGTGATTTGTCTACACACATGAGCAGACCGTCCTTGGGCATCCAAGTCAGAAACATTTCACCCCAGATTACTTAGCCCTTCATTACCTATATAAGCCTACTTCCTTTCCCAGTTAGTTGTTAATATATCTCTCCCCTGGTGTTAGCCCATCCACTCACAGATGAAATCTCTCCCAGCTACCTGCTATTTTTCTCTCCCAATGTCAGCCCATCTACACATGGATGTGATAAAATCGGCTTTTCCTAGCTAGCTGCTAGAATCTCCTGATTTTAGTCCTTGTTCATTGGAATAAACTTTCCTTTCAAAAGCCTATTGTTTTCCTTAAATTCTTTTATTGGTACACTTTAGGTATACAATATGTTTACATGTATCATTGGGTGCTTGTACCTGTACATGATGCATCT